TGGTCATGATGGTGATGTGTGTGATGGTGATGGTGATGATGATGGTGATGATGATGGTTATGATGGTGATGGGGATGATGGTGATGGTGATGATGATGGTGATGATGGTGATGATGATGATGGTGATGTGTGTGATGGTGGTGATGATGGTGATGATGGTGATGTGTGTGATGTGTGTGATGGTGATGGTGGTGATGATGGTGATGTGTGTGATGATGATAATGATGATGGTGATGATGGTGATGATATTGATGGTGATGATGATTCTGGTGATGGTGATGATGATGGTGATGATGGTGATGGTGATGATGATGGTGATGATGGTGATGATGATCGTGATGATGGTGATGTGTGTGATGTGTGTGATGGTGATGATGGTGGTGATGATGATGGTGGTGGTGATGATGATGATGGTGATGATGGTGATGTGTGTGATGGTGATGGTTGTGATGGTGATGATGTGTGTGATGTGTGTGATGGTGATGGTGATGATGATGCTGATGATGGTGATGATGGTGATGTGTGTGATGTTGATATGTGTGATGGTGATCATGATGATGTGTGTGATGGTGATGATGGTGGTGATGATGATGGTGGTGGTGATGATGATGATGGTGATGATGGTGATGTGTGTGATGGTGATGCTGATGCTGATGTGTGTGATGTTGATATGTGTGATGGTGATGATGATGATGTGTGTGATGGTGATGATGGTGGTGATGATGATGATGGTGGTGATGGTGATGTGTGTGATGGTGATGATGGTGATGATGATGATGGTGATGATGGTGATGATGATGGTGATGATGGTGATGTGGGTGATGGTGATGATGGTGATGGTGATGATGGTGATGGTGATGTGTGTGATGTGTTACAGGGGGAGAAAGGGGAGCCGGCAATTCCAGGATCAAGAGGACCTCCTGGATTTCCTGTAAGTACCTCACCACTCATCCCACTCATCACTCCCCGACTCACCACTCATCCCACTCATCTCTCCCCCACTCACCACTCATCACTCACCACTCTCCCACTCACCACTCATCACTCACCATTCATCACTCATCGCACTCATCAATCACCACTCACCACCCACCTGCTCACCACTCACCACTCCACCACTCATCACTCCACCACTCCACCACTCCACCACTCACCACTCACCACTCCACCACTCACCACTCACCACTCCACCACTCATCACTCCACCACTCACCACTCCACCACTCCCCACTCACCACTCCATCACTCACCACTCACCACTCCACCACTCACCACTCCACCACTCACCACTCCACCACTCACCACTCCACCACTCACCACTCCATCACTCACCACTCACCACTGACCACGCCACCACTCCCCCGCGACACACCAGCTCACCACTCAACACTCACCACTCACCACTCCACCACTCCACCACTCCACCACTCATCACTCACCACTCTCCCACTCACCACTCATCACTCACCATTCATCACTCATCGCACTCATCAATCACCACTCACCACCCACCTGCTCACCACTCACCACTCCACCACTCATCACTCCACCACTCCACCACTCACCACTCACCACTCCACCACTCACCACTCACCACTCCACCACTCATCACTCCACCACTCACCACTCCACCACTCACCACTCATAACTCCATCACTCACCACTCACCACTCCACCACTCACCACTCCACCACTCACCACTCCACCACTCACCACTCCATCACTCACCACTCACCACTCACCACTGACCACGCCACCACTCCCCCGCGACACACCAGCTCACCACTCAACACTCACCACTCACCACTCCACCACTCCACCACTCATCACTCATCACTCCACCACTCATCACTCCACCACTCACCACTCCACCACTCCACCACTCCACCACTCACCACACCACCACTCCACCACTCCACCACTCACCACTCATCACTCATCACTCCACCACTCACCACTCATCACTCCACCACTCACCACTCCACCAGTCACCACTCACCACTCACCACTCATCACTCACCACTCCACCACTCCACCACTCACCACTCACCACTCATCACTCCACCACTCACCACTCATCACTCCACCACTCACCACTCACCACTCATCACTCCACCACTCACCATTCCACCACTCAGCACTCCATCACTCACCACTCCACCACTCATCACTCCACCACTCACCACTCCAGACTCACCACTCACCACTCCACCACTCACCACTCCACCACTCATCACTCACCACTCCACCACTCCACCACTCACCACTCATCAGTTCATCACTCATCACTCACCACTCACCACTTCACCACTCACTACTCCACCACTCACCAATCATCACTGGGGGGTCTTTACCTGGGGGATCTTCACCTGGGAGATCTTCACCTGGGGGATCTTTACCTGGGGGATCTTTACCTGGGGGATCTTTACCTGGGGATCTTCACCTGGGGGATCTTTACCTGGGGGATCTTTACCTGGGGATCTTTACCTGGGGATCTTTACCTGGGGGATCTTCACCTGGGGGATCTTTACCTGGGGGATCTTCACCTGGGGATCTTTACCTGGGGGATCTTCACCTGGGGGATCTTCACCTGGGGGATCTTTACCTGGGGGATCTTCACCTGGGGGATCTTTACCTGGGGGATCTTCACCTGGGGGATCTTTACCTGGGGGATCTTTACCTGGGGGATCTTTACCTGGGGGATCTTTACCTGGGGGATCTTCACCTGGGGATCTTTACCTGGGGATCTTTACCTGGGGGATCTTTACCTGGGGATCTTTACCTGGGGGATCTTTACCTGGGGGATCTTTACCTGGGGATCTTCACCTGGGGGATCTTTACCTGGGGGATCTTCACCTGGGGGATCTTTACCTGGGGATCTTTACCGGGGGGATCTTCACCTGGGGATCTTTACCTGGGGATCTTTACCTGGGGGATCTTTACCTGGGGGATCTTCACCTGGGGGATCTTTACCTGGGGGATCTTCACCTGGGGGATCTTTACCTGGGGATCTTTACCTGGGGGATCTTCACCTGGGGATCTTTACCTGGGGGATCTTCACCTGGGGGATCTTTACCTGGGGGATCTTTACCTGGGGATCTTTACCTGGGGGATCTTCACCTGGGGATCTTTACCTGGGGATCTTTACCTGGGGGATGTTCACCTGGGGGATCTTTACCTGGGGGATCTTTACCTGGGGGATCTTTACCTGGGGGATCTTTACCTGGGGGATCTTTACCTGGGGGATCTTTACCTGGGGGATCTTCACCTGGGGGATCTTTACCTGGGGATCTTTACCTGGGGGATGTTCACCTGGGGGATCTTTACCTGGGGGATCTTTACCTGGGGGATCTTTACCTGGGGATCTTTACCTGGGGGATCTTCACCTGGGGGATCTTTACCTGGGGGATCTTCACCTGGGGGATCTTTACCTGGGGGATCTTCACCTGGGGGATCTTCACCTGGGGGATCTTTACCTGGGGATCTTTACCTGGGGGATCTTTACCTGGGGGATCTTCACCTGGGGGATCTTTACCTGGGGGATCTTCACCTGGGGGATCTTTACCTGGGGATCTTTACCTGGGGGATCTTCACCTGGGGATCTTTACCTGGGGGATCTTCACCTGGGGGATCTTTACCTGGGGGATCTTTACCTGGGGGATCTTTACCTGGGGGATCTTTACCTGGGGATCTTCACCTGGGGGATCTTTACCTGGGGGATCTTCACCTGGGGGATCTTTACCTGGGGGATCTTTACCTGGGGGATCTTTACCTGGGGATCTTTACCTGGGGGATCTTCACCTGGGGGATCTTTACCTGGGGGATCTTTACCTGGGGGATCTTTACCTGGGGGATCTTTACCTGGGGATCTTTACCTGGGGGATCTTCACCTGGGGGATCTTTACCTGGGGATCTTTACCTGGGGGATCTTTACCTGGGGGATCTTTACCTGGGGGATCTTTACCTGGGGATCTTCACCTGGGGGATCTTTACCTGGGGGATCTTCACCTGGGGGATCTTTACCTGGGGATCTTTACCTGGGGGATCTTCACCTGGGGATCTTTACCTGGGGATCTTTACCTGGGGGATCTTTACCTGGGGGATCTTACCTGGGGGATCTTTACCTGGGGATCTTCACCTGGGGGATCTTTACCTGGGGGATCTTCACCTGGGGGATCTTTACCTGGGGATCTTTACCTGGGGGATCTTCACCTGGGGATCTTTACCTGGGGATCTTTACCTGGGGGATCTTTACCTGGGGGATCTTTACCTGGGGATCTTCACCTGGGGGATCTTTACCTGGGGGATCTTCACCTGGGGGATCTTTACCTGGGGGATCTTTCCCTGGGGGATCTTTACCTGGGGATCTTCACCTGGGGGATCTTTACCTGGGGATCTTCACCTGGGGGATCTTTACCTGGGGATCTTCACCTGGGGATCTTTACCTGGGGATCTTTACCTGGGGATCTTTACCTGGGGGATCTTCACCTGGGGATCTTTACCTGGGGATCTTTACCTGGGGGATCTTTACCTGGGGATCTTCACCTGGGGGATCTTTACCTGGGGATCTTCACCTGGGGGATCTTTACCTGGGGGATCTTTACCTGGGGGATCTTCACCTGGGGGATCTTTACCTGGGGATCTTTACCTGGGGGATCTTTACCTGGGGGATCTTTACCTGGGGATCTTTACCTGGGGATCTTTACCTGGGGGATCTTTACCTGGGGATCTTCACCTGGGGGATCTTCACCTGGGGGATGTTCATCTGGGGGATCTTTACCTGGGGGATCTTCACCTGGGGGATGTTCACCTGGGGAATCTTTACCTGGGGGATCTTTACCTGGGGGATCTTTACCTGGGGGATCTTCACCTGGGGGATCTTCACCTGGGGGATCTTCACCTGTGGGATCTTTACCTGGGGATCTTTACCTGTGGGATCTTTACCTGGGGATCTTTACCTGGGGGATCTTCACCTGGGGGATCTTTACCTGGGGGATCTTTACCTGGGGGATCTTTACCTGGGGGATCTTTACCTGGGGGATCTTTACCTGGGGGATCTTCACCTGGGGGTCTTTACCTGGGGGATCTTTACCTGGGGGATCTTTACCTGGGGGATCTTTACCTGGGGGATCTTCACCTGGGGGATCTTCACCTGGGGGATCTTTACCTGGGGGATCTTTACCTGGGGATCTTCACCTGTGGGATCTTTACCTGGGGATCTTTACCTGTGGGATCTTTACCTGGGGATCTTTACCTGGGGGATCTTCACCTGGGGGATCTTTACCTGGGGGATCTTTACCTGGGGGATCTTTACCTGGGGGATCTTTACCTGGGGGATCTTTACCTGGGGGATCTTCACCTGGGGGTCTTTACCTGTGGTGCCTCTGTTGACCACGCAGGGCGCCCCAGGGTTTGGGAGCAAGGGAGAAGCCGGGCAGCCCGGCCTGCCTGGCAGAGAGGTGAGTGTGGTGGTGACGGTGGTGGTGGTGGTAGAGGTGGTGGTGGCGGTGGTGGTGGTGGTGGTGGCGGTGGTGGTGGTGGTGGTAGAGGTGGTAGTGGTGGTGGTGGTAGTGGTGGTAGAGGTGGTGGTGGTAGAGGTGGTGGTAGAGGTGGTGGTGGTGGTGGTGGTGGTGGTAGAGGTGGTAGAGGTGGTGATGGTGGCGGTGGTTGTGGTGGTGGTAGAGGTGGTTGTGGTGGTGGTGGCGGTGGTTGTAGTGGTTGTAGTGGTGGTTGTAGTGGTTGTAATGGTGGTTGGGGTTGTAGTGGTGGTTGTAGTGGTGGTTGTGGTTGTAGTGGTGGTTGTGGTGGTTGTTGTGGTTGCAGTGGTGGTTGTAGTCGTGGTTGTGGTGGTTGTAGTGGTTGTAGTGGTGGTTGTGGTTGTAGTGGTTGTAGTGGTGGTTGTAGTGGTTGTAGTGGTTGTAGTGGTAGTTGTAGTGGTTGTAATGGTGGTTGGGGTTGTAGTGGTGGTTGTAGTGGTGGTTGTGGTTGTAGTGGTGGTTGTGGTGGTTGTTGTGGTTGCAGTGGTGGTTGTAGTCGTGGTTGTGGTGGTTGTAGTGGTTGTAGTGGTGGTTGTGGTTGTAGTGGTTGTAGTGGTGGTTGTAGTGGTTGTAGTGGTTGTAGTGGTAGTTGTAGTGGTTGTAATGGTGGTTGGGGTTGTAGTGGTGGTTGTAGTGGTGGTTGTGGTTGTGGTGGTTGTTGTGGTTGCAGTGGTGGTTGTAGTCGTGGTTGTGGTGGTTGTAGTGGTTGTAGTGGTGGTTGTGGTTGTAGTGGTTGTAGTGGTGGTTGCAGTGGTTGTAATGGTGGTTGGGTTTGTAGTGGTGGTTGTAGTGGTGGTTGTGGTTGTAGTGGTGGTTGTGGTGGTTGTTGTGGTTGTAGTGGTGGTTGTAGTGGTGGTTGTAGTGGTGGTTGTGGTGGTTGTGGTTGTAGTGGTGGTTGTGGTTGTAGTGGTGGTTGTAGTGGTGGTTGTAGTGGTGGTTGTGGTTGTAGTGGTGGTTGTGGTTGTAGTGGTGGTTGTAGTGGTGGTTGTAGTGGTGGTTGTGGTGGTTGTGGTTGTAGTGGTGGTTGTGGTTGTAGTGGTGGTTGTGGTGGTTGTGGTTGTAGTAGTGGTTGTGGTTGTAGTGCTGGTTGTAGTGGTTGTGGTTGTAGTTGTGGTTGTAGTGGTGGTTGTAGTGGTGGTTGTAGTGGTGGTTGTGGTTGTAGTGGTGGTTGTGGTTGTAGTGGTGTTTGTGGTGGTTGTGGTTGTAGTAGTGGTTGTGGTTGTGGTGGTTGTAGTGGTTGTGGTTGTAGTAGTGGTTGTGGTTGTAGTGGTGGTTGTAGTGGTGGTTGTGGTGGTTGTGATTGTAGTGGTGGTTGTGGTTGTAGTGGTAGTTGTAGTGGTGGTTGTTGCGGTTGTAGTGCTGGTTGTAGTGGTGGTTGTTGCGGTTGTAGTGGTGGTTGTAGTGGTGGTTGTTGCGGTTGTAGTGGTGGTTGTGGTTGTAGTGGTGGTTGTAGTGGTGGTTGTTGCGGTTGTAGTGGTGGTTGTAGTGGTGGTTGTAGTGGTGGTTGTTGCGGTTGTAGTGGTGGTTGTAGTGGTTGCAGTGGTGGTTGTGGTTGTAGTCGTGGTTGTAGTCGTGGTTGTGGTTGTGGTGGTTGTGGTTGTGGTGGTGGTTGTAGTGGTGGTTGTAGTGGTGGTTGTAGTGGTGGTTGTTGCGGTTGTAGTGGTGGTTGTAGTGGTGGTTGTAGTGGTGGTTGTGGTTGTAGTCGTGATTGTAGTCGTGGTTGTGGTTGTGGTGGTTGTGGTGGTGGTTGTGGTGGTGGTTGTGGTTGTTGTGGTTGTAGTGGTTGTGGTGGTGGTTGTAGTGGTGGTTGTGGTTGTAGTCGTGGTTGTGGTTGTGGTGGTTGTGGTGGTGGTTGTTGTGGTTGTAGTGGTTGTGGTGGTTGTAGTGGTGGTTGTGGTTGTAGTGGTCGTGGTTGTAGTCGTGGTTGTGGTTGTAGTGGTGGTTGTAGTGGTTGTAGTCGTGTTTGTAGTGGTTGTGGTTGTAGTCGTGGTTGTGGTGGTTGTTGTGGTTGTTGTGGTTGTGGTGGTTGTAGTGGTTGTTGTGGTTGTTGTGGTTGTAGTCGTGGTTGTGGTTGTAGTGGTTGTTGTGGTTGTAGTGGTTGTGGTTGTAGTCGTGGTTGTGGTGGTTGTAGTGGTTGTTGTGGTTGTTGTGGTTGTAGTCGTGGTTGTGGTTGTAGTGGTTGTGGTGGTGGTTGTGGTGGTGGTTGTGGTTGTTGTGGTTGTAGTGGTTGTGGTGGTGGTTGTAGTGGTGGTTGTGGTTGTAGTCGTGGTTGTGGTTGTGGTGGTTGTGGTGGTGGTTGTTGTGGTTGTAGTGGTTGTGGTGGTTGTAGTGGTGGTTGTGGTTGTAGTGGTCGTGGTTGTAGTCGTGGTTGTGGTTGTAGTGGTGGTTGTAGTGGTTGTAGTCGTGGTTGTAGTGGTTGTGGTTGTAGTCGTGGTTGTGGTGGTTGTTGTGGTTGTTGTGGTTGTGGTGGTTGTAGTGGTTGTTGTGGTTGTTGTGGTTGTAGTCGTGGTTGTGGTTGTAGTGGTTGTTGTGGTTGTAGTGGTTGTGGTTGTAGTCGTGGTTGTGGTGGTTGTAGTGGTTGTTGTGGTTGTTGTGGTTGTAGTCGTGGTTGTGGTTGTAGTGGTTGTGGTGGTGGTTGTGGTTGTTGTGGTTGTAGTGGTTGTGGTTCTAGTCGTGGTTGTGGTGGTTGTTGTGGTTGTTGTGGTTGTAGTCGTGGTTGTGGTTGTAGTGGTTGTGGTGGTGGTTGTGGTTGTTGTGGTTGTAGTGGTTGTAGTTGTAGTCGTGGTTGTAGTGGTGGTGGTGGTGGTTGTTGTAGTTGTAGTCGTGGTTGTAGTGGTTGTACTTGTAGTCGTGGTTGTAGTGGTGGTGGTTGTAGTCGTGGTTGTAGTCATGGTTGTAGTGGTGGTTGTAGTCGTGGTTGTAGTGGTTGTGGTTGTTGTGGTTGTAGTGGTTGTGGTGGTGGTTGTGGTTGTTGTGGTTGTAGTGGTTGTAGTCGTGGTTGTGGTTGTGCTCAGGGCTCTCCAGGGAAAGACGGTGAACGAGGAACACCAGGAAGAGACGTGAGTAGACAGACACCTCAACATACACACACTGACATACACACACTGACATACACACACACTGACATACACACACTGACATACACACATACACATACACACACACTGACACACACACTGACATACACACACACTGACATACACAACAACAACCGCCATTCGCCACTAAGTGGCGGTGACGTCACCACGACGCTTGTGCCAGGCTATGTGCACCCTGAGGCCACGTGAAGTGTCGAACACCCGCTGGCAGGAGGTCACGGGGCAGACCCAGGTGCCACGGGTCGACTGACTTAGATGACTGGCTAATGCACCACCTGTGCCCCCTACTGTGCCAACCTGCTGTGCTTTAGCCACCCGGCGCTCCGCTCGTTGTTCTGAGCGTCGCTCCTCCGCCCTCCGTTGTTGTTGGAGGGCGACTGCCTCCAACTGCCCAGTAGCGTCCTTCACGAGCCTCCTCCACAGAGGCCGATCTTGACACCGCTGGTACCAGTCATCGGCAAGTCCACTCAGCTCCACAACCTCCTGTACCATATCACTCCATCTCTTCTCTAGCCCGTGCCGCGCCCGCTTAGCCCCCTCGATCCGGCCGAACAAAAGCTGTTTCGGCATGCGGTGGCTTGGCATGCGGGCTACATGACCCAGCCATCGCAGCCTTGCCTGCCGGAAGAGCTCACCGATGGGACCCTGCCCAGATCTTTCAAGGATTTGTGAGCTCCTCACACAATCCAGTCTGGTTAAACCCAGGATGGATCGTAGGCAGGCCAGCCTAAATGTTTCTAACCGGCGAAGATGTTCCATTAGGGGGGTCCACGTTTCGCAAGCGTAGAGAAGGGAGGGAATGACCGTGGCCGAGAAGACCTGAAGCTTAGTGCGGAGCGACAGACCAGGTAGCTTCCACACAGCGTTACGCAACCGATGAAAAGATATTGCCGCTCGACTGATTCGGAGTGAGACCTCTGCTGTTAAACTGGAGCCAGTCATAAGCACACTGCCCAGGTATGGGAAACTCTCCACTCTCTCCACAACTGCCCCATCACCGATTGGGAGTTGTGGGGGTGGAGTGTCCGATGGTACAAAATACCCAGGCAGGTGCTTAGTTTTGGTGGGGCTGATGTTAAGGCCCCACCTCTTAGTGGCACGCTCCAGTCTCAGCAGCAGCGTCTCCAACTCCTCCTCTGACTGAGCAGCTATTACCAAATCATCAGCATACATAACGTGGTCGAGCAATAGGGAGCCATCCCTTGACCGCACCCGGGCATCGATTAGCCTCCCATTATATCTGTACCATATGGAGATTCCCCTGGTACAGCTATTGAAGGCTTCACGAACTACGTGGTCAAAATAGATATTAAATAATGTGGGAGCCAGAGGACATCCCTGTCGCACCCCAAGGTGTACAGGGAATGGCTCTGACTCCCGGCCACGTAGTTTTACCCGGGCCCGCTCACCATCATGAAGGTCCTTAATGATCGTGAGCAGAGGGTCAGGTACTCCAAAAGCACGAAGAACGACCCAGAGCCCAGGCCTACTGATGGTATCATAGGCCTTGACCAGGTCAATAAAGCAGAGATGTAGGTCTTGTTGGAATTCCCTACACCTCTGCTGTAGCAGACGGACAGAAAATATGGCATCTGTGCAGGACTGCCCTATCCTCAAACCGCATTGGGGCTCCGCAAGCCTCTCCTCAGCGTGCCTCGCAAGGCGATGCTGAATAATCCTTGCCAGGACCTTTCCCGGCACACTGAGGAGTGAGATGCCCTTGTAGTTGTTACAGTCTGTGCGGTCCCCCTTCTTAAAGAGGGGGACCACCAGGGCATCCTTACAATCCTGCGGACATACACACACACTGACATACACACACACTGACATACACACACTGACATACACACACTGACATACGCACATACACACAGACTGACATACACACATACACACACTGACATACACACTGACATACACACTGACATACACACAGATACACACACACACATACACACACACTGACCTACACACGCACGTACATACACACATACATTCAACAACCAACAACAACCGCCATTCACCACTAAGTGGCGGTGACGTCACCACGACGCTTGTGCCAGGCTATGTGCATGTTGAGGGTTGGTCCCTCCCCCAGGACCTCAGAAATGCTCAGTAAATCTGCAAACCTGTTCCTGGGGGTCGGAGATTGGATCACCGTTCTTTCCCCTAACGATGGTAATAGGTGTGGCGCTGCAGGTTACTTTTTTGATGGAGTTAAATAAAGATTTGTGATCACGGGCCACTGAGGCAGACTCCATCTCTTCAGCAACCCGCGACCACCACCCATCCTTGCAGCGCCTCACGGCTCTCCGAACCTCCGAGCGAAGGCTGCGGAAAGCCTCCTCATTCTCTAACGTGGGATTCTGTAGCCGATGACAGTGGGCCTGTCGCTTTTTCTCAACTATCCTGATCAACTCCTCTGTCAGCCAGGGTCTCTGGTGAGGTCTGGACCACGTACCCAAAGTAGCCATTGCAGCTGCATGAGTCACAGTCCTAAACCTCACACATTTCCCCTCGACATCTGGAGGAGTGGGGGACAATGCCAACCCCAGTCGCAAGGGATGATGACATGCTCACTTGCAACTTTCATCAGCTAGCTGAGACCAGGCCACTATCGGTTTGAATGGGGTCCTGGGTGTACACCCACCACCGCAGTGGAAGAATGGCAGGCGCATCTTACAGATGACTAGTCGATGGTCAGTGGGCATATCAGCTCCACGGTAGGTCCTGGTGTCAAGAATATGGGCCCACATCCGCTGTTCCATCATTATGTAGTCCAGCAGATGTTCTTGCTTGGACCCAGCATACATCCATGATGTTGTGTAGATGCCTCGATGCCGGAACAGCGTGTTGCTAATTACAAGCCCATAGGCTGCACAAAAATCTAGCAGCCTCCTGCAGTTGTTATTGAACTGATCTGGCCCATGCCCTCCAATCACTCCAGACCAGGTGCCAGCATCATGACCATCTCGGGCATTGAAGTCACCCAACAAGATGACTTTATCCAGAGGGGCCACTTTAGCCAGCACCTGTGACAGGAGGTCATAGAAGGCATCTGACTCATCGGCCTTGCCTGCATCCCTCCACGGATGTTCGTCTTCGGTGGGGGCATAAGTAACCACGACCACCACTCCTCACCTCCGGTTGATGGGAAGGCGAGCCCAAAGTAGCCTGGGGCTTACAGCTTCCCACACCTCACCGCCTCGCTCCCACGCTCCCTTCATTCTTTTATTCAAAAGAAAAGCCACTCCCTGTTGTTTGGCAGTCTGCTGTCCCAAGTAGAGAACTGTCCACCCCTCATGGTGGCAGGAGCCAGAGCCGGTCCACCGGACCTCCTGAATACCACAGAGATCCAGACGGTACCGGTCCAGCTCCTGACAGAGGAGTGGCAGCCTCTCCTCCGCAGTGAGCGTTCGAACATTCCACGTGGCCACACGTAGTGGCTTTTCGTTGTTTCTGGAGGAGCCCCAAGGGTAGAGATTCAATCTCCTGGCTCCGCCAAATGGGGTTTGGCCAGGAGACGTCATAGACGCCTGTCCCCCCCGAGGTCTCCGAAACCAGCTTAATTAGATATTATGTGGTAATTATTTGAAGGTTACCAGCCCCTCGCACCCATTCATAGGGTGGCCACAAACCTCACGAAGGGAACGGGAAATCAGAATTGGCCTTCCTACCCACGGAACTGCCCACGACAGAGTTGCCCGTCCGGCACCGCGAGGAGGTAGGGGGTTGTTTTTGCTGGTACCATACATACAAAGACAAAGATCCCCCGTGTAGCCCTAACAAGACTGTAGGGGCAAGTGCTGTTAGCGAGCACCTATGAAGGTCGGAACGATACACGAGGGGGTGGGTGGCCAACACCACGCCCGACCGCCTTTGTCTCCCTAGTGGCAATGTTTACACACCGCACCGGGTACTCATTTGAGGCTGAGTCGACCTAGGGGAGGCCCGGAACCGGTTCAGATAATCGTCACTGGTGTTGGCCGTGAGCGGGAATCGAAGCTGGGTCGCCAGGTTCATAGCGCAGCGTAGCGCTAACCACTACACTACCGCTCCCCACACCATACATACACACACACACGCGTTACACACACACACAGTGTGGTGAGTGTGTACGTGTGTGTAAGTGTGCTTACGTGTGCGTCGTGCAGCGGTTAGCTCGCTGCGCTACGAACCTGGCGCCTCCAGTTTCAATTCCTCTCACGGACAAAATCGGTGACGAATTATCTGAACCGGTCCTAGGCCTGCCCTAGGTCGACTCGGCCTTAAATGAGTCGGTGGTGTGGTGTGTAGTAAACATCGCCACTGGGGGAGACAAAGGCGGCCGGGCGTGGTGGTGACCACCCACCCCCTCGTGTGCCACAGTGCCGGTAGCCTTCGTAGGCGCTGCTACTCGCTACTAACAGCACTTGCCCCTACAGTCTGTAGAGGCTACACGGGGGATCTTTGTCTGTGTCTACCTTCATAGGTTCTGCTGCTACTCGCTACTAACAGCACTTGCCCCAGCAGTCTGTTGAGGCTACACGGGGGACCTTTGTCTGTGTCTACCTTCATAGGTTCTGCTGCTACTCGCTACTAACAGCACTTGCCCCAGCACTCTGTTGAGGCTACACGGGGGACCTTTGTCTGTGTCTACCTTCATAGCTGCTGCTGCTACTCGCTACTAACAGCACTTGCCCCAGCAGTCTGTTGAGGCAACACGGGGGACCTTTGTCTGTGTCTACCTTCATAGCTGCTGCTACTCGCTACTAACAGCACTTGCCCCAGCACTCTGTCGAGGCTACACGGGGGACCTTTGTCTGTGTGCGCGTGCAGGGATCTCCAGGCTCCTCGGGCCAGCCCGGGCTTACAGGTGGACCTGGGCCTCAGGTACCCGTAGCTCCACAGTCAGACACCAATTAGCTCCCCACAACAACAACAACCGCTATTCGCCACTAAGTGGCGGTGACATCACCACGACGCTTGTGCCAGGCCATGTGCACCTTGAGGCCACGTGAAGTGTCGAACGCCCGCTGGCAGGAGGTCACGGGGCAGACCCAGCAGGTGCCACCGGTCGACTGACTGAGATGACTGTGGCTGATGCACCACATGTGCCCCCTACTGTGCCAACCTGCTGTGCTTTAGCCACCCGGCGCTCCGCTCGTTGTTGTGAGCGTCGCTCCTCCGTCCTCCGTTGTTGTTGGAGGGCGACTACCTCCAACTGCCCAGTAGCAGCGTCCTTCACGAGCCTCCTCCACAGAGGCCGATCTTGACACCGCTGGTACCAGTCATGGGCAAGTCCACTCAGCTCCACGTCCTCCTGTACCACGTCACTCCATCTCTTCTCTAGCCCGTGCCGCGCCCGTTTAGCCCCCTCGATCCGGCCGAACAAAAGCTGTTTAAGCAGCTCTCTTCACACACACGCGCACCTAAGCACCTGCCTGGGTGTTTTATACTCAGGGTTGATGGTGTTGATGTTTGTGGTGGTGATGATGGTGACGGTGACATGTCAACCCCGACCTTGTTACGGAGCCATTTAGACATGATTGGTCACACCGTTCCATACACTACACTATACACTACCCTACTATAAACTACACACTACACTAATATACACTACACTATACACTACACTGCACTATACACTACACTATACACTACTATGCACTACACTACTATACACTACACTATACACTACACTACTTTACACTACACTATACACTACACTATACACTACACTACTATAAACTATACACTAAACTACTATACACTATACACTACACTGCACTATACAAGGCTATACACTACACTGTACACTACTATACACTACACTATACACTACACTACTATACACTATACACTACACTATACACTACACTACTATACACTACACTACTATACACTACACTACTATACACTACACTATACACTCCTATACACTACACTATACACTGCTATACACTACACTACTATACACTACACTATACACTACTATACACCACACTATACACTGCTATACACTACACTATGCACTGCTATACACTACACTACTATACACTACACTATACACTACACTACTAAACACTTCACTATACACTGCTATACACTACACTATACACTACTATACACTCCACTACTATACACTACACTATACACTACACTATACACGACACTACTATACGCTACACTATACACTACACTATACACTACACTACTATACACTACACTATACACTACACTACTATACACTACACTACTATATACTACACTACTCTACACTACACTACTATATACTACACTATACACTACACTATACACTACACTACTATACGCTACACTATACACTACACTATACACTGCACTACTATACACTATACACTACACTATACACTACACTACTATACACTACACTACTATACACTATACATTACTATACACTACACTATACACTACTATACACGACACTATACACTACACTACTATATACTACACTATACACTACACTACTATACACTACACTATACACTACTACACTACACCACTATACACTACACTATACACTACTACACTACACCACTATACACTACACTATACACTACACTACACACTACACTATACACTACACTACACACTACACTATACACTGCTACACTACACTGTACACTACACTACACACTACACTACACACTACTACACTACACTATACACTACAGCTGTCAACCCCTACCTTGTTACAGACCAACTCAGACGTGATTGGTCACCCCGTGCCCCTTATAAATCCCAACGTTCATCTTACAGTCCCATCACAAGGGAGATGATGTTGGTGATGATGATGTTGGTGATGATGATCTTGATGAGGTTGGTGATGTTGGTGATTATGATGCTGTTGATGATGTTGATGATGTTAATGTTAAAGATGTTGATGATTTTGATGATGTTTTAGGGTCCCAAGGGAGATCGGGGATTTCCAGGCCCTCCTGGAAATGTGAGCGAACTCACTCATCCATCACCTCACTCATTCTCTCACTCAGTCATCCCCTCACTCATTCTCTCACTCATCCATCTCCTCACTCATTCTCTCACTCATCCATCCACTCACTCATTCTCTCACTCATCCATCCACTCACTCATTCTCTCACTCATCCATCTCCTCACTCATTCCCTCACTTATCCATCCACTCACTCATTCTCTCACTCATTCATCCCCTCACTCATTCTCTCACTCATTATCTCACTCATCCATCACCTCACTCATTCTCTCGCTCATCCATCACCTCACTCATTCTCTCACTCATCCATCTCCTCACTCATTCCCTCACTCATCCATCCACTCACTCATCCTCTCACTCATCCATCACCTCACTTATTCTCTCACTCATCCATCACCTCACTCATTCTCTCACTCAGCCATCACCTCACTCATTCTCTCACTCATCCATCTCCTCACTCATTCTCTTACTCATTCATCCCCTCACTCATTCTCTCACTCATTCATCCCCTCACTCATTCTCTCACTCATTCAATCCCTCACTCATTCTCTCATTCATTCTCTCACTCATTCAAAACATCACTCATTCTCTCATTCACAGCCAGCCTGTCCTTAAAATCACTCACTCACAATCACTCATTCATTCCATCATTCAATCACTCAATCATTCACTCACTCACTCATTCACTCACCCACTCATTCACTCACTCATTCACTCAATTACTCACCCACTCATTCACTCAATCACTCACTCACTCACTCAATCACTCAATCACTCACCCACTCACTCAATCACTCAATCAATTATTCACTCAATCACTCACTCAATCAATTATTCACTCACTCACTCACCCACTCAATCACTCACTCAATCACTCATTCACCCACTCAATCACTCACTCAATCACTCACTCACTCAATCACTCACTCACTCATTTCAATCACTCAATCAATTATTCACTCACTCAATCATTCACTCAATCAAGCACTCACTCTTTCAATCAATCACTCACTCACTGACTCAATTACTCACTTAATCACTTAATCACTCACTCACTCAATCGATCACTCAATCACTCACTCATTCACTCAATCACTCACTCATCTGAATCACTCAATCAATGACTCACTGTGTGAGTCTTGGATCTCCTCTGTGTGAGTCTACGGGTCTCTGTGTGAGCCTATGTGAGTCTATGAGTCTATCTGAGTGTATGGGTCTCTATGTGAGTTTGTGAGTCTCTGTGTGAGTTTATGGGTCTCTATGTGGGTCTACTGGTCTCTGTAGGAGTTTATGGGTCTCTGTGTGAGTCTATCGGTTTCTTTGTGAGTCTATGGGTCTCGTCTGTGTGAGTCTCTGTGAGTCTATGAGTCCTGTCCTGGGCCTCCCGCAAATGAGTAGCTGTTGTAGTGGTGGTGTCGTAAACGTCGCTGCTAGGGAGACAAAGGCGGCCGGGCGTGGTTGCCGGCAACCTGCCCCCTCGTGTGCCATAGTGCCTGCATCCTTCATCGGCGCTGCTACTACTCGCTACTAACAGCACTTGCCCCAGCAGTCTGTCGAAGGCTACACGGGGGACCTTTGTCTTTGTCTGTGTGTGGCAGGTGGGTGTTGGAATAGCGACTTTGAAAGGTGATCGGGGCCTACCCGGTACGCCGGGACGTCCCGGCAGTACAGGCCAACCAGGTATTGACGCTCGCACAGACACAACAACAACAACAACAACAACCGCCATTCGCCACTAAGTGGCGGTGACGTCACCACGACGCTTGTGCCAGGCTATGTGCACATTGAGGCCACGTTAAGTGTCGAAGGCCCGCTGGAAGGAGGTCACGGGGCAGGCGTAGGTGCCACGGGTCGACTGACTGAGATGCCTGGCTGATGCACCACCTGTGCTCCCTACTGTGCCAACCTGCTGTGCTTTAGCCAACCTGCTGTGCTTTAGCCACCCGGCGCTCCGCTCGTTGTTGTGAGCGTCGTTCCTCCGCCCTCCGTTGTCGTTGGAGGGCGACTGCCTCCAACTGTCCAGTAGCAGCGTCCTTCACGAGCCTCCTCCTCTACAGAGGCCGATCTTGACACCGCTGGTACCAGTCATCGGCAAGTCCACTCAGCTCCACGTCCTCCTGTACCATATCACTCCATCTCTTCTCTAGCCCGTGCCGCACCCCTTTTAGCGCCTTCTATCTGGCCGAACAAAAGCTGTTTCGGCATGCGGTGGCTGGGCATGCGGGCTACAGGACCCAGCCAACGCAGCCTTGCCTGCCGGAGGAGCTCACCGATGGGACCTTGCCCAGATCTTTCAAGGATTTGTGAGCTCCTCACACAATCCAGCCTGGTTAAACCCAGGAGGAATCGTTGGCAGGCTAGCCTAAATGTTTCTAACTGGAGAAGATGTCGCTTTTTCTCAACTATCCTGAACACCTGCTGTCAGCCAGGGTCTCTGGGGAGGTCTGGACCGCGTACCCAAAGCAGCCAATGCAGCTGCATGAGTGACAGTCCTAAACCTCGCCCATTTACCCTCAACATCCGGAGGAGTGGGGGACGATGCCATCCTCAGCCGCAGGCGATGATGGAATTCTCGCTTGCAACTTTCATCAGATAACTGAGACCAGGCCACTTTAGGTTGGAATGGGGTCCTGGGTGTACACCCACCACCGGAGCGGAAGAATGGCAGGCGCATCATACAGATGACTAGTCGATGGTCAGAGGGCAGATCAGCTCCACGGTAGGTCCTGGTGTCAAGGACATGGGCTCGCATCCGCTGGTCCGTCACTATGTAGTCCAGCAGATGTTCTTGCTTGGACCCGGCATGCATCCATGATGTTGTGTGGATGCGCCGATGCCGGAACAGCGAGGTTGGTAATTACAAGCCCATGGGCTGCACAAAAATCTAGCAGCCTCCTACCGTTGTTATTGAGCTGATCTGGCCCATGCCCTCCAATCACTCCAGACCAGGTGCCAGCATCATGACCAACTCGGGCATTGAAGTCACCCAACAAGATGGCTCTATCCCGAGGGGGTACTTTAGCCAGCACCTGTGACAGGAGGTCATAGAAGGCATCCGACTCATCGGCCTTACCTGCATCCCTCCACGGATGTTCGTCTTCGGTGGGGGCAAAAGTAACCACGACCACCACTCCTCGCCTCCGATTGATGGGAAGGCGAGCCCAAAGTAGCCTGGGGCTTACAGCTTCCCACACCTCACCACCACGCTCCCACGCCCCCTTTATTCTTTGTTCAAAAGAAGAGCCACACCCTGTTGTTTGGTAGTCTGCTGCCCCGAGTAGAGGACTGTCCACCCCTCATGGTGGCAGGAGCCAGAACCGGTCCACCAGACCTCCTGAATGCCACAGAGATCCAGGCGGTACCGGTCCAGCTCCCGACAGAGGAGTGGCAGCCTCTCCTCCGCAGTGAGCGTTCGAACATTCCACGTGGCCACACGAAGTGGCTTTTCGTTGTTTCTGGAGGAGCCCCGAGGGTGGAGATTTTCAATCTCCTGGCTCCGCCAATTGGGGTTTGGCCAGGAGACGTCATAGACGCCTGGCCCCCCCGGGGCCTCCGGCACAAGCTTATTAGTTAGATATTTTAGACGTGGTTTAGTGGTAAATGTTTGAAGGTGGAGGGGTTACCAGCCCCTCGCACCCGTCCAGAGCCCCCGTTAAGCCCCTGTGGTGGTCACAGACGCCATGAGGTGAGGAGCCAATCGGAATTGGCCCTGCCCCCACAGCACTGTCCACGACAGAGCTGCCCGTCCGGCACCGCGAGGAGGTAGGGGGTTGTTTTGCCGGACACACACACACACTCACGTACACATACACACACACAGATACACACACATACACACACACAGATACACACACATACACACACACACGTATACACGTACACACATACACACACAGATACACACACATACACACACTCACATACACACACACACACAGATACACAGATACACACACATACATACACAAACAAAGATAAACAAAGATCCCCCATATAGCCTTAACAGGCTGTAGGGGCAAGTGCTGTTAGCGAGCACCTATGAAGGCCAGAACGGTACACGAGGGGGTGGGTGGCCAGCACCACGCCCGACCGCCTTTGTCTCCCTAGTGGCGATGTTTACATACCGCAACAGGTACTCATTTGAGGCTGAGTCGACCTAGGGGAGGCCCGGGACCGGTTCAGATAACACACACACACGTACACACACACACATACACACACACATACACACACACACGTACACACACACATACACACACAGATACACACACACACGTACACACACATACACATACACACACTCACACACGTACACACACACATACACACACAGATACACACACACATACACACACTACACAGACACACACACATATACACACACATACACACACACGTACACACATACACACACACAGATACACACACGTACACACACACATACACACACACAGATACACACAGACACACACTCACACATACATACACACACACACACGTACACACACATACACACACACATACACACACAGATACACACACGTACACACACACACATACACACACACACGTACACACACACACGTACACACATACACACACACACACACGTACACACACACATACACACACACACGTACACACACACACAGATACACACACACATACACACACACAGATACACACACATACACACACACACATACACACACACAGATACACACAGATACACACACACATACACACACATACACACACACAGATACACACATACACACACACACAGATACACACACACATACACACACATACACATACACACACGTACACACACACACATACACACACGTACACACACACACACATACACACACACGTACACACACACATACACACACACATACACACACACATACACACACACATACACACACATACACATACACACACGTACACACACACACATACACACACGTACACACACACACATACACACACGTACACACACACACACATACACACACACATACACACACATACACACACACGTACACACACACATGTATGCACACAAAACACAAAGACACAAACAAGTGCCGTTAGCGAGCAGCACCTGTGAAGGCTACCGGCACTGTGGCACACGAGGGGGGTGGGTGGCTACCAGCACCACGCCCGGCCGCCTTTGTCTCCCCCAGTGCTGCGATGGACAGGCGTGGTGCTGGCCACCACCACCCCCTCGTGTGCCACCGTGCCGGCTGTCTTAGGAGCTGCTGCTCGCTACTAACAGCACTTGCCCCAGCAGTCTGTAGAGGCTACACGGGGGACCTTTGTCTGCGTCTACCTTCATAGCTGCTGCTACTCGCTACTAACAGCACTTGCCCCAGCAGTCTGTAGAGGCTACACGGGGGATCTTTGTCTGTGTCTACCTTCATAGCTGCTGCTACTCGCTACTAACAACACTTGCCCCAGCAGTCTGTAGAGGCTACACGGGGGACCTTTGTCTGTGTCTACCTTCATAGGTGCTGCTGCTACTCGCTACTAACAGCACTTGCCCCAGCAGTCTGTAGAGGCTACACGGGGGACCTTTGTCTGTGTCTACCTTCACAGGTGCTGCTGCTACTCGCTACTCACAGCACTTGCCCCAGCAGTCTGTAGAGGCTACACGGGGGACCTTTGTCTGTGTCTACCTTCATAGCTGCTGCTACTCGCTACCAACAGCACTTGCCCCTACAGTCTGTAGAGGCTACACGGGGGACCTTTGTCTGTGTCTACCTTCATAGCTGCTGCTGCTACTCGCTACTAACAGCACTTGCCCCAGCAGTCTGTAGAGGCTACACAGGGGACCTTTGTCTGTGTCTACCTTCATAGCTGCTGCTGCTACTCGCTACTAACAGCACTTGCCCCAGCAGTCTGTAGAGGCTACACGGGGGACCTTTGTCTTTGTTCTCACTGTGACCACTGCTCTCTCTCTCTCTGCACAGGTCCACCTGGCTTTCCTGGCCAACCCGGGTTACCCGGTGAGTCACAACCACGTCACAACCCACGTCACAGCCCACGTCACGACTGATGATGATGATGACGCGGATTATGATGACGCTGATGCTGCTGATAATGACGCTGATGATGACGCTGATGATGACGCTGATGATAATGACGCTGATGATGACACTGATGATGATACTGCTGCTGATGATGACGCGGATGATGGTGACGCTGATGATGACGCTGATGATGATGCCCCTGATGATGATGCTGATGATGACGCTAATGATGATGACGCTGATGATGACGTTGATGCTGATGATGACGCTGACGATGACGCTGATGATGATGCTGACGCGGATGATGATGACGTTAATGATGATGACGCTGATGATGATGCTGATGATGATGACGCTGATGATGATGATCGTATTGATGACGCTGCTGCTGATGATGACGCTGATGATGGTGCTGATGATGCTGCTGCTGATTATGACGCTGCTGATTATCACGCTGACGATGGCGTTGATGACGCTGCTGATAATGATGCCACTGCTGACGCTAAAGATCGTCATGAAGGTGATGATGATGATGGTGCTGACGGTGATGCTGCCGATGACGATGACGCTGATGACGATGACGATCAGGATGATGCCGATGATGATAATGAGGCTGGTGCCGATAATGATGATGACGATCATGATGACGCTGATGACGATGATGTTGATGATGATGACGACGACGACGATAATGATGACGATGCTGATGATGATGATGATAACGATGATGATGACGCTGATGACGATGACGACGCTGATGATGACGACGCTGATGATGACGATGGTGATGATGCTGACGATGATGATTATGACGCCGATGACGGTGACACTGATGATGACGATGACACTGATGATCACGACGATAATGGTGACGACGACGCTGATGATGACGCTGATAATGATGACGATGATGATGACGATGACACTGATGACGCTGATGACGATGATGACGACGACGACGCCGATGACGATGATGACGACGACGAACCCACAACCCACAGCACTGACCCCCTAACCCCCTTCCACCCCCTCCCCTCTCACCTCCTGAACCCCTTCAGGCTACGCTGGGCAGACACAAGCGGGACCCCCCGGCTTGCCCGGGGAGAGGGGCTCCAAGGGGGACACCGGGGTACCCGGCCTGGGGATCCCCGGGCCCAGCGGGAGGCCCGGGACCCCAGGGCCTCAAGGCCCCGTGGGCCAACCTGGAGGTGAGGGAGGAAAGCGGTGGTAGTGGCTGTGGCGGTGGTGGTGGCGGTGGTGGTGGTGGTTGTGGTGGTGGTGGTGGTTGTGGTGGTTGTGGCGGTGGTTGTGTTGGCGGTGGTGGTGGTAGTTGTGGTGGCGGTGGTGGCGGTGGTGGTTGTGGCGGTGGTTGTGTTGGCGGTTGTGGTGGCGGTGGTTGTGGTGGCGGTTGTGGTGGCGGTCGCGGTTGTGGTGGTTGGTTGTGGTGGAGGCCGCGGTTGTGGTTGGTTGTGGTGGCAGTGGCGGTGGCGGTGGTTGTGGTTGGTTGTGGTGGCGGTCGCGGTTGTGGTGGCGGTGGTTGTGGTTGGTTGTGGCGGAGGCCACGGTTGTGGATGGCTGTGGTGGCGGTCGCGGTTGTGGTGGAGGCCGCGGTTGTGGTGGCGGTGGTTGTGGTTGGTTGTGGTGGCGGTTGTGGTTGTGGATGGTTGTGGTTGGAGGTCGCGGTTGTGGTGGCGGTGGTTGTGGTTGGTTGTGGTGGAGGCCGGGTTCGCTGTCGCGGCCGCCCCAGCTGAGCGACGCGTTTTGCCGCGGTCACCGCCGTTGTTCCGTCACCGTAGACTCGGGCCCGTGCGACCGCGGAATCCCCGGCAGGCCCGGTGACACCGGCCAGCCGGGACGGCCTGGGCAGCCGGGGATCAGAGGTGAGGCCGCTTCACCGTGAGCGGTACCGTGGCCACACAGAGAGCCACAGACTCACCACACAGAGAATCATAGAGACCACACAGAGAGCCATAGACTCACCACACAGAGACCCACAGACTCACCACACAGAGAATCATAGAGACCACACAGAGACCCATAGACTCACCACACAGAGACCCATAGAGACCACACAGAGAGCCATAAACTCACCACACAGAGACCCACAGACTCACCACACAGAGAATCATAGAGACCACACAGAGACCCATAGACTCACCACACATAGACCCATAGAGACCACACAGAGAGCCATAGACTCACCACACAGAGACCCACAGACTCACCACACAGAGACCCATAGAGACCACACAGAGAGCCATAGACTCACCACACAGAGACCCACAGACTCAACACACAGAGAATCATAGAGACCACACAGAGACCCATAGACTCACCACAAATAGACCCATAGAGACCACACAGAGAGCCACGGACTCACCACACAGAGTCATAGACTCACCACACAGAGACACACAGACTCACCACACAGAGACCCATAGAGACCACACAGAGAGCGACAGACTCACCACACAGAGACCCACAGACTCACCACACAGAGACCCATAGAGACCACACAGAGAGCCATAGACTCACCACACAGAGACCCACAGACTCACCACACAGAGAATCATAGAGACCACACAGAGACCCATAGACTCACCACACAGAGACCCATAGACTCACCACACAGAGACCCACAGAATCACCACACAGAGACCCATAGACTCATCACACAGAGACCCATAGACTCACCACACAGAGACCCACAGACTCACCACACAGAGACCCATAGAGACCACACAGAGAGCGACAGACTCACCACACAGAGACCCACAGACTCACCACACAGAGACCCATAGAGACCACACAGAGAGCCATAGACTCACCACACAGAGACCCACAGACTCACCACACAGAGAATCATAGAGACCACACAGAGACCCATAGACTCACCACACAGAGACCCATAGACTCACCACACAGAGACCCACAGAATCACCACACAGAGACCCATAGACTCATCACACAGAGACCCATAGACTCACCACACAGAGACCCATAGACTCACCACGCAGAGACCCACAGACTCATCACACAGAGACCCACAGACTCACCACACAGATACTCATAGACTCACCACACAGAGACCCATAGAGACCACACAGAGAGCCATAGACTCACCACACAGAGACCCATAGACTCACCACACAGAGACCCACAGACTCACCACACAGAGACCCATAGAGACCACACAGAGACCCACAGACTCACCACACAGAGACCCATAGACTCACCACACAGAGACCCACAGAGACCCATAGACTCACCACACAGAGACTCATAGACTCAGCACACAGAGACCCATAGACTCACCACACACAGACCCATAGAGACCACACAAAGACCCATAGACTCACCACACAGAGACCCATAGACTCACCACACAGAGTGCCATAGACTCACCACACAGAGAGTCATAGACTCACCACACAGAGACCACACAGAGACCCATAGACTCACCACACAGAGACCCAAAGACTCACCACACAGAGAATAATAGACTCATCACACAGAGACCCATAGACTCACTCACACAGAGACACATAGAGACCACACAGAGACCCACAGACTCACACAGAGACCCATAGACTCAGACAGAGACCCATAGACTCACCACACAGAGACCCATAGAGACCACACAGAGACCCATAGACTCATCACACAGAGACCCATAGAGACCACATATAGAGCAACAGACTCACCACACAGAGACCCACAGATTAATCACACAGAGACCCATAGACTCACCACACAGAGACCCATAGACTCACCACACAGAGACCCATAGACTCACCACACAGAGACCCATAGACTCACCACACAGAGACCCATAGACTCACCACACAGAGAGCCATAGACTAACCACACAGAGACTCATAGACTCACCACACAGAGACCCATAGACACACACAGAGATCCATAGACTCATCACACAGAGAGCCATAGACTCATCACACAGAGACCCATAGACTCATCACACAGAGAGACTCATAGACTCACCACACAGACCCATAGACCCACCACACAGAGACCCACAGACTCGCCACAGAGAGACCCACAGACTCACTCACACAGAGAGCCACAGACTCACCACACAGAGACCCACAGACTCATCACACAGAGAGCCACAGACTCACCACACAGAGAGCCATAGACTCACCACACAGAGACCCACAGACTCATCACACAGAGAGCCACAGACTCACCACACAGAGAGCCATAGACTCACCACACAGAGACCCATAGACTCACTACACAGAGACCCATAGACTCACCACACAGAGACTCATAGACTCACCACACAGAGAGACTCATAAACTCACCACACAGAGACTCATAGACTTACCACACAGAGACCCATAGACTCGCCACACAGAGACCCATAGACTCACCACACAGAGACCCATAGACTCACCACACAGAGAGCCACAGACTCACCACACAGAGACCCACAGACTCACCACACAGAGACCCATAGACTCACCACACAGAGAGACTCATAGACTCACCACACAGAGACTCATAGACTCACCACACAGAGAGCCATAGACTCACCACACAGACCCATAGACTCACCACACAGAGACCCACAGACTCACCAGACAGAGACCCATAGACTCACCACACAGAGACCCATAGACTCAAACACACAGACCCATAGACTAATCACACAGAGAGCCATAGACTCACCACATAGAGACCCATAGACTACTCACACAGAGACCCACGGACTCACTTACACAGAGACCCACAGACTCACTCACACAGAGAGCCACAGACTCACCACAGAGAGACCCATAGACTCACCACACAGAGACCCATAGACTCACCACACAGAGACCCATAGGCTCACCACACAGAGACCCACAGACTCATCACACAAAGACCCATAGACTCATCACACAGAGACCCACAGACTCACCACACAGAGAGCCATAGACTCACCACACAGAGACCCATAGACTCACCACACAGAGACCCATAGACTCATCACACAGAGACCCACAGACTCACCACACAAAGAGCCATAGACTCACCACACAGAGCCCCATAGAATCACCACACAGAGACCCATAGGCTCATCACACAGAGACCCACAGACTCACCATACAGAGACCCACAGACTCACCACACAGAGACCCATAGACTCACCACACAGAGACCCATAGACTCACACACACATACCCATAGACTCATCACACAGACAGCTATAGACTCACCACACAGAGACCCATAGACTACTCACACAGAGTCCCACAGACTCACCACACAGAGACCCATAGACTCACTCACACAGAGACCCATAGACTCACTCACACAGAGTCATATACTCACGACACAGAGATCCATAGACTCACCACACAGAGACCCATAGACTCATCACACAGAGACCCATAGACTCATCACACAGAGAGACTCATAGACTCACCACACAGACCCATAGGCCCACCACACAGAGACCCACAGACTCGCCACACAGAGACCCATAGACTCACCACACAGAGAGCCATAGACTCACCACACAGAGCCCCATAGACTCACCACACAGAGACCCACAGACTCACCACACAGAGACCCACAGACTCATCAAACAGAGACCCACAGACTCACCACACAGAGACCCATAGACTCCCCACACAGAGACCCATAGACTCTCTACACAGAGACCCATAGACTCACCACACAGAGACCCATAGACTCACCACACAGAGAGACTCATAGACTCACCACACAGAGACTCACAGACTCACCACACAGAGACCCATAGACTCATCACACAGAGACCCACAGACTCACCACACAGAGAGCCATAGACTCACCACACAGAGCCCCATAGACTCACCACACAGAGACCCATAGGCTCATCACACAGAGACCCACAGACTCACCATACAGAGACCCACAGACTCACCACACAGAGACCCATAGACTCACCACACAGAGACCCATAGACTCACACACACAGAGCCATAGACTCATCACACAGACAGCCATAGACTCACCACACAGAGACCCATAGACTACTCACACAGAGACCCACAGACTCACTCACACAGAGAACCATAGAGACCACACAGAGACCCACAGACTCATCACACAGAAAGCCACAGACTCACCACACAGAAAGCCATAGACTCACCACACAGAGAGCCATAGACTCACCACACAGAGACCCATAGACTCACTACACAGAGACCCACAGACTCACCACACAGATACCCATAGACTCACCACACAGAGAGCCACAGACTCACCACACAGAGAGCCACAGACTCACCACACAGAGACCCATAGACTCACCACACAGAGACCCATAGACTCACCACACAGAGAGACCCATAGAATCACACACTGAGACCCATAGACTCATCACACAGAGAGCCATAGACTCATCACACAGAGACCCATAGACTCATCTCACAGAGAGACTCATAGACTCACCACACAGACCCATAGGCCCACCACTCAGAGACCCACAGACTCGCCACACAGAGACCCATAGACTCCCCACACAGAGACCCATAGACTCACCACACAGAGACCCACAGACTCACCACACAGAGACCCATAGACTCACCACACAGAGACCCACAGACTCACCACACAGAGACCCACAGACTCATCAAACAGAGACCCACAGACTCATCACACAGAGACACATAGACTCACCACACAGAGACCCATAGACTCCCCACACAGAGACCCATAGACTCACCACACAGAGACCCATAGACTCACCACACAGAGACCCATAGACTCACCACACAGAGAGCCTCATAGACTCACCACACAGAGACTCATAGACTCACCACACAGAGACCCATATACTCACACACAGAGACCCATAGACTCATCACACAGAGATCCATAGACTCAC